ACAATGCTTTTAGGGGTGTTATAGGTTGGTCTTTAAGCAAGTTCCTAAAAGAATTGACCCATTGAGATTAGATTTATTTTGTTAGAAATACGTGGTCGTCATGGTTTAAAGCTAATTTCTGTAGATTTGTTTAGGTATTTCAAAGTCATCAGCTCTTTTTGTAAGCTGGCAACAATATTACACATGGGTATAACATCGCTTCTTATTTAAACATTCTTTGTATTCGAAACATCTATGATGGAAGGTTGTGGTTATTTTAATTTTAAATTATCTCATATATATGAAACTAGATACAGTGCCACATTTTCTTTGCCGTCGCCATTTTGAAATGTCAGACTGACATTGTCAGTTAGATCTCAAAAACATCTAATAAAAATCCAACTAAAATGTATTTATTGTTATTCCTTGTATTATTAATTACAATGGCAAAGTTTTAATTATCGAACGGTTCTGATGGCTAGGTATCTTAAAAGATATTATATTAATAGAAAAGGTAACAAAACCTATCAAATGAGTTGTTCCTAAGTTTGTGTCACATTTATCTGAGCCTAGAACTGTATTTTCTAGATTCTAGTATACATTGTTTTTTTAAGGCATTTCAATTAAATTATTACGTTAGCCTCCATGAGTTCAAATTATTCCCCTTATAATGGTTATTTTTTATTTACTGGCAACACAATTCACGACAGCGACGCTCCGTCTACCGGCCAAGTAAAGTATGTGGCAGTATAAAAGTCTTTATAACCCTTCTTAATATTCTCTTTTAGGTTGGTTCGAAACTATTCCCCGCACACATGTTCATTATAGCCTCAAGTAGTGAACTTTTATACAAATTATATCAAGAGGCAACACTGATTGGTGAAAAACCTATAATTGTATTAGAAAATGTTCACCCTGAAGTATTTGAAAGGATCGTAAAATATATGTATACGGGTTCATGTGATGTTGCCGAGTTGGGTCCGTGCAGTTTGAAGATAAGGAAGGAAGATTTGATTCCATATAAAAAAGAAAGAGAAGTCGATATTGATAATACAGAGGTCATTGGTGAGTAGGCTAGGTTTGTTATCTAGCAAAACTTTGAAGCTTTTACAGCTTCAAATTTTTAAACATTAAAGCAATTGTATCTCTTACGACTTATGATTCCCTGGTACTATCAGAGTGACAATTAAAATTTTGTACCGTATCTCATGATCATCATCATCAGCCTCTCTTTATTTGGTCTATTTCTAGACGTAGCCCTCCGTTTTCCTCCAGTGCGACCTGGCACTGGAGGTAAACGGAATGTCTGCGAAAATTTATGGATATATACAGATATACACTTCAAAAATTTAGCACACCTATGTACTATTATCATATATCCAATAATATTATTACATTCATTTTCATCATTTGCAGGTTACCTTAGTGATATTTTATTGCTTCATATTCAAAAACAAAACTATTAATTTTAATTTCAAAAGGACAGAAATTTGTATATTCCAAGCATCCCACAATAATTATGTGATACTTTCTTCATTATTATTCCCAATTAACCAAACGCTATGGCAACCCCTAATGTTACATGTATTTTATTGAATTTTAATACGTATACTTGGCAAAAACTTAATTAACAACTCCTCGTCCAACAACAACGTCAATAAAAAATATTCTTAATTTATATTTCTGTTTAAAGACGAACGCTCCGCTTGCAAATAAACGTTTCAAGCGATAATTTTTTCCAGAAAACCCATCGGAAATATCGGCTTTTGAGGTATACAAAGAGCAAGATAAGAGGAAAAATAACAAACGCCGACAGAATAATACAAACATACAAACACAGAGGCTGTACTGCGATCCTGTTAAAATGGTCCAAGCGTCTGCTAAGAGGTTACAAGTCATGGGCCTGCATAAACTTCTTGAGAAGTTCTAGTAAGTATGAATATTGTATGAACTTGACTGAGGGCAACCGTCCAACATTTTCTTAAAAATTATAACAAATCTTGGTCAAAAACTTCAACCTACCGTATATATTATATAAAATGAGATTTCGCTCTACTTTGAAACACATATAATATGTGCTTACGCTTAGTTTCGCCCAATAGGTAAAGTTTTCTTTACAAAATTAATTCTACAATCCTTGTACTCGGGCAGATAGTAAGCTCTGCTTGTCATTTTGGTCATCTTTAGTCCACATACAGTTAAAGATGGGTTAGATTGCTGGCGAAAGTAATTATTTTGGATCAATCAACGCCATATGGATAATATAGATTTCTGGGCCTATTATTGTTTGGGTTGTCCTAACTTTTAGCAGTGTGCACATTTCATCGAACAGCTTTTTATAAGTAAAATAATTGTTTTAGCTACAAAAACGGTACAGTATGCCTACGTGACAGTGCTACATACACTAAAAATACAGTGACATGGGACAGACAGACATACCCCGAATTAGTGGATACAAATGTATGCTCAAAAGATGGTGTACTTTTATCTGCGCATAAGTGTGTGTTAGCCGCTCGCTTGGAGTATTTTAGTGGAATGTTCCTGCATTCTTGGACTGAGGTTAGTAATAATGAATGATTAAACTGACTGACCTTGATATTACTTAGTTTCTGAGAAATTTGGTAACAAACATACACTGTCGCATTTATCCCCCGTACTTAAAAGCCAAGATCATATACTCAGATATTATGCAAATTTATCAAAATCACATGCAAACACTTCTAACTCTTATTTTTTTCTTCAATATTTTATGTTTTGATTATAATAATATTGAACTCTCAGGAATGTTTTTATGGTGGGTAAAATAGTAGAAATTGCCTGGAAATCCCATAAAACCAGTTTAATAAAAAAAGGAGTTCGCCGCGGCGATACTTTAAACTCAACTAATTTACATACATTTGAAGGCACGCCTTTACATTTCAACATGACTATCTATATACTATGGTACTTATTAATTTTATTTCAATGTCAAATAAATTTTTAAACCATTATTGTTTTGTTACAGAGCAAAATGTTATCAAAAGTATCTATACCAATAAATCACAGCATACTTCTCCCGGTTATAAACTTTCTTTATACAGACACATGTCCCGAAATAGATAGATCGGACAGCATTGACTTCATTTGCAGTATGCTTATTGTCGCTGACCAGCTTTTCATTGGTAGAATTCGTGAAATGTGTGAAGTTGCACTTGCCAACCTTGTGACTTTAAAAAACTGTGCTGAACTATGCCAATTTGCACACACCTATAATGCAACACAACTCAAACAATACTGCATGGAGTATATTTCTCTGAACATAGCTAATATCCTTGAAAACCGGACTTTAGATCTTTTAGAAGACGAATTACTGGAGGATATAAGTAAATACTACTGCAAATTCAATCCTATAATGTCATCAAGAATTATAACACCATTCTCAATTGCACCTACTGATGAAACGGTGGAGGAAATTGCTAAAAATTTCTCCATAGATTTGCATTTCATCGATGAAGAGTATATCAAGGATACATGTATTGTGGAAGTACCAACAAAAACAAGCAAAAGAGCAAAGTCCAAAAAAATTGAATATACAGAGAATGAGAAAGCTAGAATGAGATATGAATCTGTCAGTTCTGTATCATCTGATCTTAATGATTCGGGTGATATAACATTATCTCTAAAGGAAATTTCTAAAGAAAGTGATAAGTCAAACAGCAATTGGACACAAGTGTTATCACCACAACAGAAACTAGTTCAGGCTCGTTTGAAAGCAATATCTTCTGCGAGAGACATCATGAATGAAACCCCAACAAATTCATTCACAAAATTGACAAAGAACTCACCAGTTGACACACCAAGTACATCCCAAATATTAACATCCCCAAAGGAATCATTTATTGACCATAGCCGGAGTTCTCATACGAATTTGGTTATAAGCCATGTTGGTCCAAAATTGTCCCAAAAGCAAAGAAAGAAATTGGCATCCATGGACAACCAGACTCTGCAGACCTTAGACAACTATCTAGTTAATAAGTTAACAATTGGTTCGCCCCCTGATAAGCCAAAAAATCCTTGGAAAATTTGTGAAGCTCCAATTGCTAGCAGCAGCCCATGCAAACCTAAAAGTCTGGAATTTAATCAAATCCTTGCTGATCAGAAAAAACAAAAGGATGATTCTTCACGGATTATGACTAAATCTTTGACATTAACGCAGGTTTGTTATTCTAGTTAGTGGTGTACACTATATATTCTTGTTTGTTCAGCACTTGCTCATAAGAAAAGTAGTAAAACATTATGTGCAAACTAAAATGTATGCATTTAAAGCCAATTATGTATCATTATTGTCCTGTTTTATAGTCTTTTCTCAGTTTAATATGGACAATTTAAGGATTATCTTGAGCTAACAATATGAAATTTTTTATAAATTAAATAATAGGCTTGAACCATATAAATTTAATAAAATAACTCACTACATAATTTTTTGCAGCTTGAAGATAAAGCCATTGAAGAATTAGAGAGATTCTATAACATACATGAAGTAGATGATGAATATATAACTGTAAGGCGCATTGAGCTTCAGGTGTCTTCACCACAGTGGATCAACACTGCCCCAAAGTGATATTGATGTGTTATTTTATATTTTACAAATTGACATAAAATTATGAAATATACTTATTATACTATTTTTTTAGTTTTATTAAAACCAGCTTACATGAATGTTCAAAACTGAATTATTGCCTTATGATGGCAAAAAATGTTTTTTTGTGATCATGGAGTTACAGATAATCAATAGATTAGTTCGTAAAAACGAATGTGATGGATGCACAAACATTGTAAGGTGTTCTTAGGAAAGTATTTTTGCGAACTTGCCCTAACCACACTAAACTGGGCCATGTTATGCTTAACTCAGCACTATAGTCATAAACTAGAAAGGAGCATTGATATTACAAAAGGCAGTAATATAAAAAACAAATTATATTAATTCTACATTTATTCACCAGGTATATTCATAACATAAACTACTTATAATATTAACTATATTATAATGGAGGAAAGCCCTTAAGGAGTTGATTTAACTGTCTATGAGTAAGTTTCTTCTCGCCTGGAATAAGAATACCTTTCTTTCCCATTTCTCTTTGAACCTTAGCTCTCTGATTGTAATCATTATAACATGTTTGGAAAGCTGTTACTTCCTTTAGGCACTGCTTTTGATCAAATTCTGATTTCTTAAAACAAGCAAATAGTACAGCCATTTCTTGCATACATGCTGCTTCTTTTGTTTTGTCACTTTTACCTGATACTTCCTTTTTTAATTTTAGAGGGAGTAACATTTGAAACGGTACAGGTTCTGTTTGGAATCTTCGTGCATGGGTACTTTTTGGTGCCAAATTGGGAATATGTAGCCTCATTTCTAAATACTAAAATTACACAATGTTTGTATAGTAAATTAATAACGTATTCGTTTTTTCATTTATATTTTAAGAAAGGTTAAGTTCCAAGTATTTTGGAATAGAATGTTATTTATATCTATCAGATGATCAGTTGTCACTTTTGCATTTATCTTGTGACATGCATTTTAACATTGACAGTAGCTGTCAAGTATCAACTGACAGAGAGATGGAAATAAATCGTGTAGAAGAGAGTGAAGACTAGCCTCTTTCGTTCAAGTTTTTATGACATTATAACTTTTTCTTCTTAACAGATTTTATGGCGTGGTATAACTTCTACGATCTACACAAGACTAAAAAAAAATTAAACTAATAAATCGCTAAAACAACAAGATTGGAAAATTGCTTTAAAAAGTTTTGTTGACGAAACTATCTAAGTATTTACCAATGAATTTTACCAAATAGTTTAAGAATGACATAGACATATAATTTATTACAAACAAAAACTCACACACATAAACACACTAAATAACAATAATCAAAGAAAAAAAATATAATAAGAGATACATTTAAAAAAATCCCTTTTCCCATTCGGTTCGTTTCAAGTGTGTAAAACGTGTGAGTTTAAAAAGGCCAATAACGCACTTCCATACTATTTGGCATTGTTAGTGTCCATGGGCAGCGAAATCACTTAACATAAAATGAGCATTATGAGCATCCCGAGCGATTTGCATATGACCTTAAAAAAATACATTATTAAAGAAATTGTAGATCACTATTTAAATCATTTGGAGTTTAAACAATTTGTACGCTTAGTACATACCAAGTAGGTAATTACTAAATAGTTATTTGGTCTTAACCCTAATCTATAATATGATTATTTAAATCCACTTTATCGTTTGATAATAAACAGAGCTCACAGTAATCTGTGATATGTAGTAATTACTTGCCTTGACTGCGGGAACATACATAATTGATACCTATTTTTTCACCGAAAAACCGACTTTAGTTTAAAAATTAACTTACTTTGTTTGATTGCCTTTTTTTAAAAGGTTAAAAGTTAATAATAAAAAAAAGTTTTTTATTTGTGTACTTGATATATATATATTGACTTATATTGACTTGATTATAAATAATTTAAAAATTGTTTAACATTTGTTCGGTGTCGTATAACGTTCAACACTAAAATTATTTGTATACAATAGAAATCAACCAAAAAAACCATGGAGGAGGAGGTTGTATATAACGTGTATGTTTTTATTTATTTACGACTTGCTAAAGACTAGCTAGATACAAATAATGTTTAAAATGATTAGTAGTATTATTTAAAATATTGCCAAGGATGCATATAAAGCTGGACTTGACGCGGCCGAAGTAACAGTAATATAATTATCATATAAAACACATACCTTTTCTTTACGTGAAAAGGCATGTGACGCGGGGTTTTCTATCTAGAGAATATGATCATTTGATTATACTTACAAAATCTTGGATTAATCAATCCATTGACATCCTTTGTGTGGTTTAAAATTGCGTATCCGGTTCCAGTTCTGTAGGCTCAATAGACGTCGCGGGGAAAGAACTGAATCATAAGAAAGAAATTAATCTTGGTCTCAGATTCCTGTATCGGTTTCCATCATGTTTTATCATGTAGATTCTGTATCTACTCACGTATGTCAAATCCAATACGTTTTTGACATATGGGAGTCATCTTTCGCCTACTTAACTGTGAATTTTACTCATACACTAATTTAAAGATTAAATCCATTGCTGCACAGATTTGAACGCAGGACAAGAGTAAAGGTCTTCAGCACATGTCGGCTTAAGTAGAAAATAGAAATAATATATTATCAATATATTATATTAGGCCCATAAATTGCTTTAAAATACTTATTACGTTTTCTACGATATGAACTTACTGTATCTATTAACTACTAAGATAATTTATACAAAGATATTAAAAAACAAAAGAAAACTCTCGATTTTTAGCAGTCGTGTACAAAGTCGTTTAAATTTTTTAAAATTGTTGATGGCATTTTATATGTAAATAAAACACCTTTAACGGATAAAACTGCGAGTTTATTATTATTTACAACTCTATGATTCAAGAGCTTTTCAGCAAGCGTGGCCAGCGAGAGAGACGATTGTTGAAAGCCACTCGAGCTAGCAATTTTTTTTTTATACAACAGGGGGCAAACAGGCATCTGATCTTAAAAGCCACCCATAGACACTCACATAGCCTAAGAGCTTGCAAGTGCGTTTCCGGCTTTTTAAGAATTGGTACGTTTCCTTGAAGGATACTTCAGTGGGGTGCTGGTTCCATATAGAGGTGGTGCGCGGGAAAACGTGCCTAAAAAACGCTCAGTTGTGCAACGACGGACGTCGAGAAACGTGGAACACGTCTGTTCCACAGCATTATGCTGAGCCAGTGCCAGTTGCTACCACAGCACGTTATTCCTTAATTCCCTCTTTTTCCCTTCTTTCCATATTTTTATTTTATTTTTTGATTATTATTTTGTGTGTGTGTTTCGTTAGTAATAAATGTTATGTCGTCTGTCTTTCTGTAATAATTTTTTTATAAGGTTGAAAAATAGAAAATATTTAAATAAATAATTACTGACATTTAACATCGAGTCCTCTATTTAATATGTTGTAGAATCTATATTTAAGTTATGTTTTTAATGTACACCTGTTTGTTCTATCAATTACAGTACCTTGGACCACTATTATTCACTTTACTATAAGACCATCGAATAACTCTAACGAGCCATACAGGACTTTATAAAAATATATAAATAAGACTAAAACGTAATAAGTATAATATTATTAAACTTCGAGACAATTAACAGTTTAGTTAAACGTCACGTATAGGAGAAAAACAAGATAATAGGATGAATTATTTTATTTAAACGTCGTCATTTCAAAGAAAAACCACCCAATCTTTTTACGTTTCTAGTTGAGGATGTCTGGGAGGATGACAGCGCCGTCAGGGATCAAAGGTGTGTCAACGTTGATGTTTTCAGCTTCCAGCTCTGGCTTGGGGTTCTCCACAATACTGATGGCGTCGGGAATGATTTCGTTTTCAATGACATTGATGTTGTCGGGGATAAGTTCGGGTTGGGATCCATCAATGATTTCTACGGGGCTGGGAATAAGAGCGGGGTTCTCTGGGTTGTAAACTTGGTCAACGGTGACGTCTCCAGCGGATGCGTCAACATTAATGATAACCTGTACGAGGGGAGCTTTGACGCTGGCGGGCTGGTCTTCAATGAGAGCGGGTCCGACGGAGATATCCTCGTGTTCCTCAATCAGAGCTGGTCCGACGGAGATATCCTCGTGTTCCTCAATCAGAGCTGGTCCAACTGCGATATCCTCGTGTTCCTCAACAAGAGCTGGGTTGGTGTCAATAAGTACAGGTGATTCATCGATTATAGCGGGTCCAGCAGAAATTTCGTCTAGTCCATGTCCACCGAGGAGATCGTGGAGCATTTGCTGTAAAGCAGCAGCTGTGGCTGGGTTGGTGCTGGGGCTGTTGATAGCGCTGATGATCTCATCGATCTCAGAGGCTGAGATACGGTTAAGAGGGACTGCCGAAGCGACGGCGATAACAGCTAATACGATTAGGAATTTCATTGTAGCGGTTTCTGTAAAATTAAATTTATTTATAAATATAATGTAACAACTCTCTTATTTTAATAGGTATTGCTACCAGCGGAGACACTGAAACAAGCCACAACAAATGCAAAAAATATACGCTGGAGATGTGCAAGTATACTTCATTGGATATTTAAAAAACAGCGTCAACTATTTGCCACAACTCTTCTTCTCAACTCGCATTAGAAAAATACAAAATTCTGGTTAATATGTTAATAAAAAATAGTTTGATAATATTGTATGTACTCACTTTTAGTTTTCTTTCAATACTGAACTGACAATAGAGTCATTGGTATTTTATATTAAAAATAATCTTTGCTCCATAAATTTTTATCTTAGGATTAACGTCATTCCCAGAAGTAATATAAAGTTTTATTTTTCATAAGACTGGATTTAATAATGCCAATATTTAAATATCGATAATATGACAATATACATATATAGTTATACTTATTAAGATAACAGAGGGAACAACATAAAAAAATAACAATAAAAACCATAACTAACCTTAAAAAATAATAGATAAAATATATTATTAAAAGGAGTCCCTTTAAGCAAGGTTCCGAAGATACTGGCAGAGTTCCCCCTTTGAATAGCTAGAATATATATATAATATTGTATATATATATATTATAAGCGTACGGTGTCGATCTGAACCACCGCCGCTATTCTCGAAATGAAACTCGAAGTGGAGTTATAATTGTTACCGTTTATTGGTCGAACGTTAGTGATGGTGACACAAAATAATACAGCGAAGCGAGCTTATAACTAACGTCCGTCCGGCACGGCTGCGTAAATCTATCTAATCGTTATACAAATAATAGCTTAAAACTAAACCTAAAACTACCACGCTGGTCAAAGGGACCGACCGGCCCTTCCGCTACCTGCGTCCCGCCGACCGTTTCCTAGAAGAACATCTGGCTGGCAGCTTCGTTCGTCGGCTTTCTAAACTGTATTGTTCGTTGTCCGTAACAGTCTCCCCTCAGCGAAACCTTCCTATGACGTGAAGCTTTCCGTAGGTAGGACAACGAAAATTCATCTGCTAATGCTTGCGCCGTCTTCCACGTTCTTTTGTAATGTGCTTCAACGCAACTATCTCAATATTATTTACATCTCTAGTACTTAGGCACGTAAAAATCGCGCCCCATGGCTTTTTATTAAGGCCTCCTTTTCTAAGCGTATGACACCCATCTAAAAGAATGTGACTCCTTGTTACCTCTGTTATCGATATTCTTAAACGCACACGTACACGCAGTAACCGATTGCTTACGCTTAATCGGAAACTATGATCTTTAAGCTTGCGTATAAATAGTTGTACGTAAACTGTGGCTCTAACCCTGGTTGAAACCCGACGCCATTGCCTAGCATCCGTCGTTTTGGTTATTTCAGTTAATTTATGTGCAACGAATGGTGGATGCCTCGTTTTCTCATTTCTGATCCATTGTAATACCGTTGTTGAATCCGTCCATAGCACGATCTTGATTGGTTCAATTCTGTGTTCTCTAATCGCCACAGATAATCTCGCTCCGATAACAGCTGCCTGTAGCTCTTGCCGCTGTTTACTCTGTGACTTAATAGATGCCACCCGTGCTTTTGCTGTGATGAACCTGTCCTCAATTACATCGGTTCTAATTCGCCAATGTGCCACACTCGCATGTGCTTGTTCAGATGCGTCACAGAACACATGCAATTGTATCTCTCCTCCCCTCGTGTAAATATACCATCTAGGTACAACTGAAGCGGTGTTTGTACAGTTTCTAACTGAGACACCGACTTTTTAAACTCATACGACTGATCCATTTTCCGTTCAATGCTTTTAAGCCGATTAAATGCCATATTATAGCTTTCTGGGAATTTCGTGTTATCAGTCTTCCACGGCAACCCCAGGTAGTAACGCCTTTCCCGTTTCTCTATTGTTGTATTGAACAATTGAACTGCACGTGCGTCGGCACTTGTTAACCTTTTTTTATTATTTATACCCAAGGCATCTATTGCAAAACTTTGTTTTAATATCGCCTCTAGACGCTCGTCTATTGTTTCTTTGTAAACGTCGCTTTCTGCCGCCTTTTTTATGCAGTGCAAAACACGTTCGTTGTCTTCCATTAAACTTCGTATAGGTGCTGTACCATGTAAAATCCAGCCTAATCGGGTTAAAGATGCAGCCGGTTCATTTTTCTTCCCACTGTATACTTTTCTGGAAACGATGAGATGCCAATTGTCAGCTCCAATTAACAATTGTGGTTTAGCTTCGCCAATCATTTGTTGGAGTGGTAACTTAACCAAATGTTTGTAGCGCAAATTATCCGCGCTAATTCTTTGGCTACCAATATCGAAATCACGCATCGTTCGCGCTTTCAAAGTGTAATTAGCCCCTCCGTCGTAGCGACTGATGTCAATTTTGACGTGTTGGCTCTCAAAATCTTTCGTTTGAGAACTAACTCCTTGAATTTTCAGCGGCTTGCTTGGCCCGCTCACACCTAATTCGTGGGCTAACTTTTCCGCGATAATTGTAATAGTCGAACCTTCGTCCAGTAGGACATGAGTTTTTACGATCTTTCCATAACAACTTCAGCCTCTGAGTTTGATGTTGATGGTTGCACCAACAATGGTTGTTGTTGTGGCTTGTGTACTACCCAATGCAACAACCTATGGTGCGCTTTTTCACACCCATCAATGCCACATCGCTTTTTCCTGCACTGTGATCGTCGGTGATATTCTTCTAGGCACAAAAAACATGCCTTCGTTTCTCTCAATCTATCCCATCGTTGATTAAGATTCATTTTCAAAAACTCTTCACAATGAGTTGCATGATGGTTGCCGTTACAGCATAGGCATCTGAGTTTCTTCTGTGTTGAGTAAACGCGCTCATTCGTTTTTGATCTAGGTTTACTTGTACCTAGCGATGTCGCTGTTTCCATCTTACGGCTATAGTTGAAAGTGAGTTGTAAGCTCGCTTCTTCTAAGAGGTATTTTGAGAGCGTAATGAAAATTGGTTCTTTCTCATTACTATTAGCCTTACCGTAGTCCGTCCATCTAGCCTGATAGTGCAGGTTAAGTTTAGACACTATTTCTCGGACTAAGGCCCCGTTACTCGTGTAGCTACGATCGTTTACACTTTTCAATAGCCACGCGATGTTTTGCACTTTTATTGCAAACTGGTTAAATTCAACCGCTGTATATCCCGGTCTGGGTAATCGCTTTATTTCTTCCAGCGCTTTATCAATTATGATCTCCGGTCGGCCATAACACTGATCTAGTGCATTCATAATAAGCTCGGGATCGCAAGCAGCCCTGCGATTCTGTAACTCACTTTTCGAACTCACACAGCGGATTTGGCATCGACGGTCGCTCTCAAATCAGTCGTGAAGCAGTCATTTTATGATTTGGCATTCTGAAAAGGTGGGAGCTTGTAGTTTATTGATTATTAGAATGCCAAATCATAAAATGACTGCTTTACGACTGATTTGAGAGCGACCGCCGATGCGAAAACCGCTGTGTGAGTTCGAAAAGTGAGTTACAGAATCGCAGGGCAGTACTCAATAATACGGCGACTGTTTCTTTAGCGGCTCCCGTAAGACATGTGCGTAATCTTGCCATGTTTTCCGCTTTAGAGTATTTGTAGAGCTTCGTGGAGTCTTCATAAGCAACTTTAAAGTAAAGCCAGTCGCAGACGTTCCCGTTAAACTGCGGCAGATCTTGAGCATGTCGTACAGGGGGTCTGTTTGTAGCTATTTTTTCAAAGGCTCCGACGAGCCGTTCCATCCCTTGATCATGGGATCGCGTTCTCGGCACGGAGGCCTCTTCGATAGGTGATATGGGCCGTTCTTTTTCCCAAGACACATTGTGTTTGAATGGCTCCACGCGTTCTGGGAGCGCTGTGTCTTCTTCCCTATCACCTTGAGATAGATTATTAACGCCGCTATGACTTCTTAGCCATCTATCTACCATAGCAGCGGAGTTGTTTCCGTTCCACTGTTCTGGCAAGCATTCGACGATACTCTCTTCGTCGTCTGCTCTGGGTAAGTCAACAGCAATTCGCTTCTTTAACAATTTTATTTCAAGCTCCATCTCTTGTTCCATCTCCTGCTTCTTTAATTCGAACTTTTTTCTTAAATATTCTTTTTCTAATGCGACCAAGCGTTTTTGGAATTCGTATTCAGCTTGCCTTACACGGGATGCCTTCGACCTCATCGTATTTCTAGAGGTCTGTGATGCTGAACCCACAGTTAACAGCGTTGAATCGACGGCTTCATTCCTCCGTATTGATTCAACTGACTCTCTGTCGTGTGTAATATCGGCTAGTCCACGTTCTAGGACTTTCGATGATGATTCTAACGGTACGCGTTCTGTCCGTACTTCTTCATCGATTTCTTCTGCCCTCTTAGCTTGGCTTCTTGTGTTCATTTTGAATTCGATTGTATTCTTCGCTTCCATGAACTGGTGGACAATGCTTTCCGTCGGCGACCCACAGCAGCAATACGTCGTTGCGGCGAGTCACTTTGTACAGGCGATGAAGTCAACCCTCTGCACGTACTCCTGGGATCGCAGGTAGTACTGCCGATGAAAATCTTCCTGGGATCGCAGGTAAAATCTTCCTTCTTCTCGGCGTCGATGCGTAGAGTATTATTCTTCTGGTTATCCGGCTTCTCGAAGGACCAAACTATAAGCGTACGGTGTCGATCTGAACCACCGCCGCTATTCTCGAAATGAAACTCGGAGTGGAGTTATAATTGTTACCGTTTATTGGTCGAACGTTAGTGATGGTGACACAAAATAATACAGCGAAGCATGCTTACAACTAACGTCCGTCCGGCACGGCTGCGTAAATCTATCTAATCGTTATACAAATAATAGCTTAAAACTAAACCTAAAACTACCACGCTGGTCAAAGGGACCGACCGGCCCTTCCGCTACCTGCGTCCCGCCGACCGTTTCCTAGAAGAACATCTGGCTGGCAGCTTCGTTCGTCGGCTTTCTAA